TTTGGTGAACACTTTTCTCACAGCAACTTGTTCCAAGAACGCCAGGACTATGAGGGCAATGGTGTGGTCCGAGCATTCGTGGCCATCGAAGAACTTCCAACCAGCTACGATATTGCTGGCGTTGTCAGAGCATGAAGCATGAACATACTCGTTGACTGTGTCCACTGCATCTCGTCCAAGCTCCGCGTTGTATTCACCAAGGCCAACATCGGCGCAAGCCACTTTCGTGGCTTTCTCCAACTCAGGACCTGTGTGGCGAACGTCCGAAAAAGGAATCGCTGCTAAGAGAAGCTCGTTGTACTCGAAATTACGGTCCACGAAATACACCATAATACCGAAGATGCTTATGCCGCCGTGTGACCAGATATCGCCACCGATGCTTGGAAGAATGCCCTCTTCCAGTAATGCCTTCAGTTTCCGCACTAGGCGCTCCTTGCCTTCAACGGACAGCTTTAAGATGTTCTGGACGACAAGGTTATACGTGGGGGGGACGTACTGTCCTTTGGTCAGGCAGTAAAATATATCTCGGAACTCTTGGTCATTCTCAGGCAAGCTCAAGGGTCGCCCACATCGCACAAGCCACAGACTGATGAGCTTATGGAGCTCGTCTCGTTTTTCAGGAGTGATCTGCGAAAAGAAATGAACAAAGCTGCGTAAGAATACAAGAGAATACAGTATACTAAAAATACATTATGAAAAAGCTGCGTAAAAATACAAGAGAATACATCATCATAAAAGTGAAAGTTTTGAAAATACATTGTGACGCACGCACCACTGGCACCAAAGCTTCGATAGTGCTTTGTGTTCCCTCGGATTCTCCGTGCGCTGACAAGTCCACTATGTCACTAGAGTCTGCTGCAATGAGCTGGCAATATTCGTTTTTGTGGCAAGAGGATAAATGCACTCGCAGATTCGTGGTATTCCCACAGTAATGCGCCGCCTTGGTGCCTTGTGGACACAGCGTACACCGAACATATATAATCTTCTTAGCCGCCTCGTCAATCTGGATCTGGAAGTACTTCCAGACCGCAGAACGCCGCTTGCCACCATAACCATCTTCGAAACCATCATCTACGAGCACCCCACGCAACGAGCGAGAAGCATGAGCCAAAAGTCTCAATACGCTAGCCCCGAAAAACACCGAGGGATCCCACCCCTCCATCGACGGAGAATAATATCGGAGCCACGTAGTCGCGGCTCAGAACGAAGGACGGAGTGCGTAACAATTACGGAACGGGGAAGAGAGAGTGATTACCGGTAATCGCTTCTGCTGCCTCTTGCTCTCTCTTTTGTTTTTTGCGTTCGATCTCTTCAGCCTCCACCTCCGAAATCTCCTGCTTCTTGCGTTCACGAAATTCGCGGATTTCGACCTCATAACCAGCAAGATTTTCTATGGGTTCCCAGGTGTCTTCCCTATCCGTATAACCTTGCCATCCTATTAGCCATTGGGGGGCGCAGCCTTTAATTAAGGCGTTCTGCCTTGATTTCACGAACTACATACACGTTATCGTCACTGCCGGCTGGATCAAAGGGAGACAGTTGAGTTCTTTTCACACGCCCTTTTCCTTGAGCTAACAGGGTCACACCGGAACTTGCCTTCGACCGCACAGCGCCACGCCCACGTTTGCCCATGATCGATTTGGAGTTTGAGTAGAGCTAGGCCTGGAGCCCTGCCCCCTTATAAAAGGTGTACTGCACACGGTCAGCCTACAACGGCGATCGATCCAATGCCATTGTGGATTGACCCAATACAATTCGTTTTTAGGTGTCATGGGAGATCGATTATCAATACCCAATTCTGATATCGATACTGCGATTTCAATGTAGCAATCAATCGATTGTGATTAATCAACGCCAACGATCAATTGATACCGATTTATTTAGGCATGGTATTGATCGATTCTGATTTTTCGACTTCATATATCAATCAATAGTCAATATTCTGATATTCAAAAAAAAGTTATCGATTGATACTAATATTCTGATAAATCGATTTATCAGAATATTAGCGCAACCGATACCGTACCTTGGTAAACTCTTCTCCAACCCACTAAATGCCCACCCTAGAATTCACTCGAGAAGATGCATACCCACCACAAGAATGAAAAAAGCCCCCAGGCCCTTCTGCCATCATGGGAAAATTGGCTTTGATGGTCTCGCTTGGGATGCCTACGTTGATCCGATAACAGGCATCGGCAGAATCGTTTATGGAAATCCCCCCTTTGATGGGAAAGAAAAGGGCAAATCTTCGGCGGTTATGACTACCTTGGAAACGGGACATAAAGCGGCCAACACCGTCCCTGGATTTTCAGGAACATGGATTCTTCCGCTATCTCCCAAAAACCAAAAAAGATGGTTCGACAAAGGTTTTAAACTTGTTTTCAGATTCCCGCATAACACTATTCCATTTATCCCACATGGCTATTGGACGGGTGATGACCCCTACGTTCTCCCAGGTGGTGGATGCTATAAGGATGCCTTTTCGGATGTTGTTATCATAGCTATAGACAGTGCACCCAGTGATACTCAACCAGTCTTTGACTGGAGGCCTACACAGAAAAAGATTGCCAGATGGTTCCTCAACGTCCTTCCTAAGTCCACAGTCACGAAGAAGAGGCTAGAATACACAGGAGTCAGCTCTGATATTTGGGATGAAGTTCTGAACGAAAGCGTCAAAGTACTTCCTTCTTCGCTTTGCCCATGGCCCACTCAAGACCCTCCTTATCATCAGAGTGATATTGAGCCTTATTATGGTGGTCACCACGACACGACAATCACCAACGCAAATTCCAAGCCCTTCATAAACACCGTTAAATGGCCCAAAGTTCTCACACTCATGGGATACCTCCCTCCTCTTTTTGGTACTGTCCTCAACACGATAGGTGTTCCCCGTGGCAAGATTAAACCTCTTCTTAAAAAACTATCAAGAATTTGTAGACAACACACCAAAAATAGGCGAGACGTGTTTCTGTTAAACACCACCACCACCTTAAACACTGACCCGCATACAGTTGACATCTCGAGCAGTGAAGCCATGACAGAAACAGAAGCTGTGCAACAATCAAACGACTTTCTTCAAACCCTCCTGCAATAATTCTCAAAAATTTTGCAATAAAAGATGGTCCCGTGTCCCCAAGGGGAGGGGCCGTCCCCCCCCTCCCCTCCCCCCACCCCCCTCTCCCCCCTCGACCCCCTTCCTCAACGTCTCCAAAAACCCCCTTAATTCTCCGACTTCTCTCCCCACCGCCCAGATTCAGCCACCCCTCCACTCACCCGGCCATGGCTGCTTCTCCATCTTCTAGAGTTTTTTGCCTAGCACTTAGCTTTTTCTCTAGATGTCACCCTGCTGAAAAGTGGGTTGAGCCCCTTTGTGGGCGCGCTATAGCAGAGGGAGTAGCCCCTGGTGTTTTCACTAGCCTGCTTTGCAGGGATACCGCACTCTCAGGACTTTGTCCCCTTTGCTAGCGTAAATGTTTTATTATTATTATTATTATTATTATTATTATTAGTATCTCAATTCTCCTGAACAGACACTATCCGTATGAACGCACATGAACAGACATCACGCACGAACTGTAACAATGAGCGAAAAGAACTAGGGGATATCAGGTGTAGTCGATCAAAACATTTGTTCTTCCAATTCCAAACATCATATATATACAAAGCATGCGTACTAAGCAGTTCCACCTGCGTCGCAGCTCCAACGAGAAGCCGAATCGAACAACATTCACGATAGACTGCGCTCAATGAAGTGTTGATTGATCCTCAAGGAACCAAATGTGAATTTGCCTCCGGACGGTATCGAAAGTTTTGCCTGCAACAATTTCTCAATATCGGCGTATTCGGACGGAAAATCGAGTGCATCTTGCCCAGCCTGCGCGCACCGAGCCAGTTCGCAAGGTTCTTTATGTACTCTGTCGCCGAGCATTAGCCAAAAGCGCAGGCAACGGAACGTTTGCGGTGCGTCATCGCAAATTCGAACTGCAACATTCTTTAGCCGTGGGCGTATTCGGACGGAAAATCGACTGCATCTTGCCCAGCCTGCGCGCACCGAGCCAGTTCGCAAGGATCTTTATATGCTCTGTCGCCGAGCATTAGCCGAAAGCGCAGGCAACGGAACGTTTGCGGTGCGTCAGCGCAAATTCGAACAGCAGCATTCTTTAGCCGTGGGTGTAGTCGGACGGAAACTCGACTGCATCTTGCCCAGCCTGCGCGCACCGAGCCAGTTCGCAAGGATCTTTATATGCTCTGTCGCCGAGCATTAGCCGAAAGCGCAGGCAACGGAACGTTTGCGGTGCGTCAGCGCAAATCCGAACTGCGACATTCTTCAGCCGTGGGCGTATTCAGACGGAAACTCGACTGCATCTTTCCCAGCCTGCGCGCACCGAGCGAGTTCGCAAGGATCTATATACAGTATGCTCTGTCGCCGAGCATTAGCCGAAAGCGCAGGCAACGGAACGTTTTTTGCAGTGCGTCAGCGCAAATTCGGACTGAAACATTCTTCAGCCGTGGGCGTATTCAGACGGAAACACGATTTGCATCTGCGCGCACCGAGCCAGTTCTCATTTATGCTGTCGTACACATCAGCCGAAAGTGCAGGCAACGGAACGTTGCAGTGCGTTAAAGTAGTGTTGGTTTGTGCTCATTTCTCTACCCGCGGCGCTGTCACGATAGAAATGCCAGCTCGTCCAGCATGCATGAGCATACCGAGTTTTACATATTGTACCTCAATGCCCTGTCTTTTCAGAAAGGGGGTATCAAACTCCTTGACGCACATTCAACTTCCCAAAAAAGTCAAGCAAGCACTTTCATTTGGTTTGCTGGCAGTGCTGTCCGATGCGCACCGAGCTGGGAAGCCAACTTTTTGCTGAAGAAGCAGCAACCTACTCCACCTCTAGTCTAGGAAAAATGGACATGTGCTGCAAATTTTAACATAGTCCAAAAGATAAAGAGGCCTTTACATTGACATAAGGTCAGTACCCAAGGTGGAAAAATATTAAAGTAATACCCCAGATTCGAACTGGGACCTCCAAGCTAAGTCTTGGTGCTCTGCCATTGAGCTAGTATCACGCATTCACATTTGTGATGGATGTGTCTTATGCAGGTGAGAGTGCTTTGAATCTAAATGACGGCTGGTTAATGAACGCGATGCAGTAGTGCCTCTGGCTGATTTGAGGCAGCCGTTGGCCGAGCATCTGCTGCCCTCCCCGTGCGCTTTGCTGAACACAGTGCAACAACACCTAGTGCGTGCATGTTGTTGGGATGCCGTGCAAGGATGCGTGATGCAAGGAGCATGTGCTGTGCTCGGGAATGGGTGTGCCGAAGCAGGCTACACTCGGGGTTGCGTGTGCTGGTATGTGCTCTGCTCGGGGCATCGTGTGTTGGCATGCGCTGTGCTCAGGGTTGGGTGTGCCGAAGCAGGCTACGCTCGGGGCTGCGTGTGCTGGTATGTGCTGTGCTCGGGGCTGGGTGTGCCGCATCCTATCCTCCTAGCTATCCTATGCCGTGCTATGCTGCGCAATGCTATGCGTTTGGATTCAATGCTATGATATGCCATGTTATGGTATGCTTGGCTATGTCACTGCTAAGCAAGCGCTATGCCGTGCCGTGCTTCCAAATGCTATGCTGTGCTATGTGTGGTGCCTTGCACCGATATGTTAGCATGCTATTTGTTTAGCACTGCCGCTGAGTCTCGGGCGCACACTGAGAGATATGTGCGCCCTAGACGGGGTTGTCAGGAGTTGAACCTGAGCTCAGAGGGCTTGTCCCACTGAGGCTGCAACCCCTCATCCGCCCCAAATTTGCAGATGCCCCAGATTTGAACTGGGGCCTGCAAGCTAGCCTAGCCTAGGCGCTCTACCTCTTGCAGGGTGATTGCAGAGTTAATGCAGGGTAGACAGATGCAGGGCAATTGTGCAGCGAGTGAATGTAAGCAGACTGCAGGGTCGATTGACTTCGCGTATGCCCCTGGCTCTTCCTTAGCGCCAGTTCTCCCTGTGTGAGGCAGTAGCCGTGGAAAACAATGGAGCTCCGAGCGCAGAGGGTGCCTCGATGTTGGCAATGGGTGCAGGGCATGATGGAGCTCCAGCTTTGCAAAGCCTCCTTCAGCGATTTGTGATCGCAGAAGAATGCCTGGTTAAGTATCTGGGTCACGTGTTGCGAAAACATTGCCAGAATGCAGCACTGGGCCAGTGGCTGAAAGACCTTTCACCATCTGGTGCCATTATGATAGCCGACTACAAGATGAAGTGGCTCTCAAAGAACTACAGGCAACTTCAAGGCGAGATGATCGGGCAGGCAGGAATCTCCATCCACATCATCTACTATCTGGTTCGCATTCCTCCGGGGACTCCTGCCAAGGACTTGGGACAAGTGGCGATAGATGGTGTCGACTACATTGTGCTTCCTCACCGCGTGTTGTGTGATGACAACAAGCAGAATTGGTTTCACACGCTACGTGGATTCAAGGAGAGCTTCGAAAAGCTGAAGGGCACATTTTCTCATCTGGATCATGTCCGCCTTCTAACAGATGGTGCAGGCAATTATGACTGCACAACAACTCTGATTGGCTTGTATGAACTTGGCCAAGAACTGGATCTCGAAGTGAAAGAGCATGTGATCTTTGAGGCTGGGGAGGGGAAGACCATGGTTGACAGCGATTGCAACTCAGTCGGGGTGGGGTTAGACCGAAGGGGTTCGGGACTGCGTCCAGGTGGTGAGTCACGGGCAGCAACGGCTTTGTGGATGGGGTACGCACATGAAGCATGAGCCACTGAATGGCAACGTTGCAGTTGCGAAGTGTGCCGAGGATCTGATCATGATTGCAGAGGATGAACTCCTCAGTCAGCACACCCTGCAGTCCACCCCACTTGCAGAGCGCACCGTGAGGCTTGTGCAGCACTGCCAGGCAACTCCGCCAGATGTCGGGCTGGCAACTCCCTTCACAAGGAAGAGCCCCCTCATGACTGTGACGAAGCTCATAACGTCAATAAAGCAAACCCGCTCCCACCTCCATAACAAAGCTGACAACGTCAGTGAAATGAGCCCCCTCCACCTCTGTAAGAGAACTGACAACATCAGTGATGTAGGGCCACTCTCACCTCTGTGAGAAAGCTGGCAAGATCCGTGAGCAACCCCGGGAGCCTGGCCACGTGCTCGAACTGGAGCTTTTTGGCAAGCGAGGGCGTGATGACGTTGTCCAGCGCCAACTTTGCAGCCTGTGTTCGAGGCGAGACCCCAAAGTAGGGTGCTTGACGCCTCCGCATGCAGGTTTTCACGCCTCAACGAGAGATGGTTTTCAAGAAGGGCAACCTGGAAGCTGCAATCTAGAACGCTGCAACGTTGATAGTGCAGCACGTCGGTTGCAAGCGCGTCGACACTGTGAGGACGTTACAGCTCCAATACCAGCGACTGCCGACTGGGGCATCTTCCCGGGCAGGGGGAACAGAAAGGAAAGTGGTTTCAACGAGTGAACGTCGCGGGCAAATGATCATTGATGCCGAACCTGATAGGGCTTCCACTCCACCGACAGGTCGACCGTGTGCCCAAGCGAAAAAGGGATGACCCAGTTGTCAACATAATGCTTGTCGACTATCTCTCGCATCACCGCAGTCTCGTCATGCAGAATATCTGGAACGAAATATAGCAATATATACAAGTATGCTGCCTGCGGATTTCGCATAAAACGGTCCACACCTTATGCGCTCGGTCTGGATCGTTGCGAGGTGACAAGACACAAGCAGGCAGTCTAGGGGCACCGAGATCGGTTAGGAATATCTTCAGGAAAACCTTTGGAGGCCAGTGCCAACAAAAGGGAGCACGCGGGAGAAGCGAGCGAGCAGAGTACCCATGGGTTTGCTTGACTTGACCCGCAGTATGGCCGGTGGCACGACACATTTTTATCACGTCGTCGATGTTGGGAATATCAGTAGCGCCCTGTTAAAACGCAATCGATGTAAGGGGTTGTGCGCGTTATGTGAGCCACCGGGACTGCTGTTATGTTGGAGAAATTGCGACACGGTGCAAGTTTTAGTGTTTTCTATCAGACCGAGGCCAACGACAAAACCCACACAGTGCTCAACGCTGAAACCGGATCATTCCACGATGAGCAGTGCAACATGTTGCCTCAAGTGTTGCCGGGTTGTCCGGTGAGACGAAAATATCAGATAGGAGCAAAGTGAATCTCAATGTCATAAGTCGTGCATACGAGTGGCTGTTGAGATTTGATTCCAAATCTAAAAAATCTAATGCGATTTTATTCGCCTTGGTCAATCTTCGAGTCTTACAAAAAGTGGCACCTAGTACTGTAGATGATTCTACGATACCTATCTTCGCTTGCTTCTCTCCACTCTCATGTCGTCTGGTGATCTGAGGGCCAGAGGTTTCGGATCGGTCAAATTTAGAATTTATGACTTAGGGTTTGTAACTATCATAGTCCGAAGCGATCGAGGTTCGATTATTCGAGGTTTGTTACATTTTGGAAGCTCAGGGACTCCGTCCGGTTCCGGAGTGTCTCGAGAACAATCAGCGCAGGTGTCACTGTACCCGTATCGTTAATCGTAATCGAGTCTCATTCGATTGCTACAGGAGTCTTGCTGAGTGAATCTGAATGCTGAATCTCCGACATATCTCCGACGCGAGTGTCACCTTCCGTTCGTTTGGCTTGAAGAACCGCCCTTCCGTTCGGCTTGAGCGCAAGACGTCGTCGCATCGCCAGCGCCATGACGAGATGTGACCAGATTTCCGATGTGCAATATTGATTTTACTGTAGTTTTTGGCAGCAATCCATCAGAAGTCCATCGCACATGTGTAGCCATGGTATACTTCCTGCCAGAGACTATGAATGGAAAAGCGAGCTGAGCCTGTGCTCTTCGAAGTGCTTTCAAACGTAAAGCGTAATAACCAAGTGGTTCGTCGTCTTCGAGCCACCGTCCTGTGCAAAGTTTTGAATAGTTCGTAAGGAGCAAGCTATGGCTAAGTCCGCAGACGTCGACTGGGACAGGTGTGCCAGGCCTTATCAAAGTCAGTTGCGTCACAATTCGAAGATTAGCGTCGAGCCCTTTTCTGCCAGCTGTTAACCTCGTCTGATAGCGCAATACGTGACGCTCATTCCACGCAGGGTTGACAAGCAAAAGATGTTTTACACTGGAGTAGGGTTATTTTCCAGCGTAATGGGGTAAGCACAAGCGCATATTTGCAACTTTGGAGTTGGTAGCGAATGCAAATAATATGTTTTCCGGTTGACGAGAAGTATACTTTGACCTTGTTGAGCTGCTTGAACTTTCCTCTTTAACGTTGCGCGCACTCACCCACTCTCAAACGTTTATGTTCTTGCACAGGTGCTTGTTTCCTCTCACGGTTCTGAAAACGCGCATAATGGTTCAAGAAGACGCAAGCCCGGGATTTCAGGGCGTACTGAAGTCAGCTCGACGGGTCCGGGATCCCTCTTCCTCAGGCTGTGTTCCTCCGAATCCCCTTCCGGGCTGCGTCTGTGTTTCTCACTGTCGATCTCAGCGAAACTCCTCCATGGTCGGATCCTCGCTACGTAGCCTCAGAAAACAAGCGTGAAGCGCACTTGCCCGAACCCGCCGCGACGTGCCCTTCGATCGTGAACACATGGTGGCGGTTCTTCCGAAACTTCTGACAAATCATTCACGTACGTTTCCCGCTGTGCTGACCTACTTAAGATTGACCTGTATACGCCGTATGTGGACTGCAGATTTGGGCCGAAGAAGGAGCTGCCGGATTCTACAGGTGGCTTGCAGCTCTTGCTTAACTAGCTGACTTGTCACGACCTGCCCACTGCGACTTCTCACCAACCCTGTCTCAGCTTCGAAGGATATGACAAATTGAACATGACTCCTTGCTCGCATGATTGCCCTGGAGGCTGCTCCCGGACCTTCGATCCCCGCACCCTAAGACTCTCGGGCGACCGCTGACCCCCGTTCTGCCCCGCTCGTGTTGCAGAGGTTTTCCCACAGTCGTGGTTGGCACCATACCTGCACGCGTGGTGTGCTCCCCCTCTTCCCCTCCCGCGCCACGTTTGCAGCTGTGGTCCTCGTCGTCACTTG